AAACATGCATAACCCCTAAAAGACAACTGACAGTTTCATAGAACTAATCATCTATTCAAAGGCAGCACTTTATAACAAGTTGACAGAATTGCGTCAGAAGTTTCATTTTAGCTCTAAATATCTTAGAAACGTGAAAATTAAACTCTTAAACTGTCTCACCACCAATGTAACCCTATTATTGATCATATCCTGATCTGCCTCCCAAACTGTATCATGAGCCTAAACATAAATATACCTGCTACCTTTGTTCAATGAAATAAAAACAATATAAAAGCACTGCAGAGACCCGAAGCTCACTTAGGTTGAGATACTTCCAACAAACCAATTAATAAGCAATGCAATGCAACCTGTGGGGATTTTGGGGCGCAGAACATCTGCAATCTTGTTTTTCTTCTTGTTTTTTCAATTTCCATTGTTGTGTGTTTAAGATTGTATGAAATTCAAGTGCGGAGAGTGGGTTTATTTCAGGCCAGTCTGCCAGCGCTCACTGGCTAAGAATGCATAATTTCATCCATTTTATTGGATGTAGATATTCCTGTTATCTGGATGGTTTATCTAATGGTTATTAAAATAACTGAGTCTTCAGTCGCTTTGGTCCAGGTGCAGTACGCACGTGTAGCAGCGTGTGTGCCGCCCGCATTGTTTTGCTGGTTATCCACACTGTTACTGTAAAGTGCTGCTGAGCCATGTTGTAAATGCTGTAGATTTAAAGATTCTGTCTAAATGACGACCAAAGCTTCCTGCCACACTCCTCTGCACAAATATGAAACAACATGCTGCAGAACAACGCTGAATATTTAATTCCAGTAAGGTTATTTACTATGCCACTCTGTTGTAGGAAAATACGGGCAGATGCGTTCAGGACATCACTGCTCTCTGACTTTCCAACAAGAATTGTTAATAACAGCCACTTCAGAGGCTCAGCGTGGTGGGCCCCTCTGATCCATGGGCCCCTGCGCCCGGTAGGTAAATCAGGTACCAGGCCTGATATCCATCCATGTTGTCTCAATATTAACGATTTTAAAATGTAACATTTCAGTGGGCAGGCTGTCGGGTTTTGTGGCGCTGTGTATTTCAACTCTCCTCTCACAATATCATAGTTTGTGTGCGTGTTTATGTGCGTGAATGAACTGGATGCATTTGTGTGTCAAACTGCCTCTTGAGGAACGAATTAAGTATTTTGATTCATAATAAATTATTATTGAATTGAACTGAAATTAATTGCAGGTGCGTTACTGAAAGTATGAGAGAAATACAAATAAAAAAACCATCGTAAATGATATCAAAGAGCTAAAAAAAATGATTTTCTGGAAATGTCGCAAGTTAACGGCTGCGAGACTTTGGCATCTGAGAATAAAATGAGGAGTTGTTATAATGCACAGTGCTGACAGTATTACGGGCTACTTCTGAGTGAACACTGACACTAAATGACATTGAAACAAATTACGGAACACTATCAGCATCAACATTGAGATAAGGCATTGCTGTGCTATCCATCAATAGTTGTTTTTACATGTATGAACAGTTATTATTATGGTATAATAATTTATCTTAGAAGATAACAAAGGTTTGGTTATATTAACTCCTTTAACAGTTGTTTGTGTGTGACTATTTGCCGGTGGGCAAAAGAACTGTACCTGGATTCTGGGCCATGATGTAAATCCTCAGCCCATGCCCACATTGCTGAATATGAAATGTTCTTATATAAACGCATTTTAATATTATCTTCAAACATTTATGCAATAATTAACGGCCCGAAAAGAGCCCGTGTTGATATGTTCTCATCAATAGGCCTACTCTTATTTTGAAGGGAAATGAAGTATTTTTGGATTCAGTTTCCTTCAGCCTGAGGAGTGTCTTCATCTTGGGTGGAGGCGGATTTCTTTTAGTTAATGATTCACCAAGAGACCAGTCGGGATGTTTGTCTTTATACCGGTTAGACTGGTTATACTGGACCATGCCCGTGCCCATCTTCTGGGACAGAATGGCGTCTTCAGCTGTGTCATCTGCACGGTAGCGCGCGCGCGCACACACACACACACACACACACGCACGCACGCACGCACGCACGCACGCACGCACGCACGCACGCACGCACGCACACACACACACACACACACACACAAACAAACAGGAGAAGCTTCAAGGTGTGCGGTGGCCTTGAACTTGAGCTCATTACATCTGTCTGTCTTTCTGTCTGCACCCTCCTCCCCCCTCCCCCTCGCTCTTTCCGTGTTAAACTTGACCTTGACCCTCAGGGGCCAGTCTAACCCCCCCCAGCAGACCACACTATGGGAGAGAGACTGGCTGTCTGGGTGGTTTGTGTGTGTGTGTGTGTGTGTGTGTGTGTGTGTGTGTGTGACTGCAGGCACACTGTTTGGGAACTTCAGAGACAATTCAATGCAAAGCGTTTTAAAGCGGCTGGTGAGAGTTTGTCATCAGTGGGATGACGTTCAGTTGTTATTAAATTATGGGATGGAGGAATATAACTCCGCACACACACAGAGAGGATACAATTACATTCACTCTTCTGGAATATGTGAAACTTCTCTAATGGCTTCACAGCGTGTTAACACCGCTGAGCTCATGTCATTCTTTTCTCTTATCTGTCAACGACTCCGCATATCCATGAAACTACATACTCATTACAAACCCAAACGGCTTCTTACTTTATCACTTACTATTTTTATTTTATTTTATTTTATTTTATTTTATTTTATTTTATTTTATTTTATTTTATTTTATTTTATTTGAACTCTTTTCAGGTCACAGTAGTTTGGTAATACTAAAAAAACAAATAAAAAAACCTTAAATAATAATTAATAAAACGTTAGGTCTACTTACTCTTTGGAGCTTTCGATCGCATCTCACGGTGTTTATCAGTGAACTCTTTTTAACTGTTGTTTATCTTGTCTTATTTATTATATTTTGAAAGTCCATATTTATCTTTATTTGCCAAACGTTCCGCCTAAAAAGGATCAAACTAGACAAACTAAACTAGAAATAAAAACTTGAACAAACGGCTCGATTCTTCTTCATTTCTTTCCGTCAGCCCTGATGGCTTAACGCTTTAAATTCATATTGTTCTGTTTTTGATTTCAAAACTATTTCAAATGCTCTTAAATGCGTTTTAATGTCCCTTTCTTGCTGCTGCAGTTTGCCTCCATATCTGAACATACTGCATTATTAATTCAGTCTCAATTAGAGCTCAAACAAGTTTTATCTCAGATTTATTTCTCCTTAATATTTTAAAGCTACACGCAGTGAAAACATCTGTCCCCCGCTGCTTCTGCCTCCATCACCTGGAGCCACTTCACACCTGCTTCTTACGTCTGCTGAATAGTGCTGAGAGAGAAACGCGGCTGCTTTTTAAAGGAGATCTAATGCAGAAATAAATATGTATTTATACGGAATCAGTTCTGCGGTGCACGCACAGAGCAACATCTCCGGTCCCTATAGGTCCCTGAAAAGGAAGAGAAAATAATCACAGCAGGGTGAATTCCTGGATGAACCAGGCAAAAATAAAGCAGACAGGATTAAATGCAATAAAATACTAGCTCACTATCGACAACCATTCGCTTGGAAAGGCTCAGATTGTGCCTCATGGTCCTGCTGCTCCCACTGTGAGTCTCAGCATTAAGACCCTGTTGTTGTGTGGCTTTCCCACAGATTCCACATTTGGGTAAAATAATGTGTATAAAGTGAAAAAAAATTGTATGAGCTAATGCTCAATCTGCCTGTTCCTATGTGCAGAAACATGGCGTCTTATGCGCATCAAAGACGGACCTTTTCTTTAATTACTGCCCACTGAAGGAATATTTGATGGCATTCAGGGTTCAAGGTGGTGTAGCTGCTAACACTACTACTCGATTATCATTTTCATGTTCAGTAATAACATTTAGAGCCAGATTTGAACACACAGTTTCTCACACTTGTCCTTGATACATGATGAAAGCGACAGTCAACCCACGAGGGCTTTCATCCTAAAATATCTTTAAGTTCTTCGTGCAACTAAAAAGCGTTTGAAGAATTATTTCCAAACCGGGCCAGGCGCATTTTGAGACCTTCTCTCGCATAAATTCAAACCCATGAGCAGCTTGTGAAATGATTACGCACACAACGCGGCTCAGAAGTGCCGTGAAAACCTTTGAGAAGCGCTTTGAACCAAAGCCATATTCCTCAAATCTTAAGACCTCCAAATCCCTTCCATAAATGCCCTTTACGCTTCCTTCAGGCCGGTGCTGTGACAGCGGGGCAGAAGAGAATCTGCCCAAGAGGGTGCAGTTATTTTAATAATCAAATGTTTCTTTTGAAAAGCTCGAAATACTCCTGGTATGTTATGATTTTCTAATACTTTTATGACAACGATAAACTTTTTTCCACGCATTTGGCAGCACCGGTTATACGTCTTTAAATGTGTCCATAACTCTGTGTAATTCTTTTTTTACACTGGAGTTCAAATAATTATAGGTCGTATTTAGATGAATGAAACATCTTATTATTATCATCAACAAGAATTCGTTCACTCTTTTTATCCAATTTTTCAATGTCAAAACTATTTGAATTTACTTTAATTTACTACATATTTTCATCCTCATCAAAACATGAATGAAACTAGTCAGTGGTTCATCTTTAATGGATCCGCATAAGCGCGCGCTCCCCATGCGTCTTTACGCAAAAGACAAAAAGTGATTTCTTTTTCTGTTTCTATGATAGTGACACTCTCCCTGGCAACCGCAGGAGATCTGAGACTCGACTTTGACATAATGCAGCTGCGCGAGGAAAAGCGGAGCTGAACCGCTCCACTGAGCTCCTCTCGTGCCACAGCTCGAGCCTCATAAAAATATTTTTCTTTGACTGACAATCCCCAACAAGTCTCTTCTTCTCCTCCTTTTTTCCCTTCTTGTCCCGTCACGTGATCATCCGGTCTCATCCAATGGACATGCGCCCCCCTCCTCTCCTGGTCTCGGGGGCTTGTTGCGTCAAAGCTGCGGCTGGGATGTAACTGGGGGTTCAGCCGGTTACCGAGAGTCTTTGCCTCCGAGCGAGCGCCGTCAGTAAACGGTGCAGCAGGGCAGCGCACGCGTGCTCTGACAGTGCGCGTGACGGCACATGTGAATAACTTTACCCGTGAGTGAGCGGGAGAGCCAGCGGTCAGTTCACCTCATTCAGCCAATGTAGCAGCGTAGCGCACGGGACCGGATAAAGTCTGAGAGGAAACGGCGACGAGCGGAGGCCAGACCGGGAAAAGGAGCGCCTATGACAGCCTCCCTGGTTCTAAACCCTCGCTGGCCAGGGGACACGGTGATGTTTGTGTATGACAACAACTTGGACGACCTGAACAAGAACATGGAGGGGCTGGTGGGCAGCGGCAACTTCGCTGCCAGTCAGTGCCGCAACATCATGGCGCACTCGGCGGCAGCCGCTGCTTTGGGCGGCCACCCGTCCGGCCTGGTGCACTCTTCGGCTGGCTACTCCACAGTGGACGTGTCCGCTTCAGGCTCCGGCGAGACAGGCGCGTCCTCGGGGAAGCAGTGCGCGGCCGGGCCTTGTCCGGCGGCAGCCGTGCCGCACCAGAGCTCCTCGGCTGCCACCGCGTTACCGTACAGCTACTTTGGTAACGGCTACTACCCGTGCAGGATGGGGCGGGGTTCTCTGAAGTCGTGCACCCAGGCGGCCGGAGCCGCGCTCAGCTCGCAGTACATGGACACTACGGTGAACTCTGACGAATACTCGAACCACCGAGCCAAAGAGTTCGCCTTTTACCACGGCTACCCCAGCCCATACCAATCCATGGCCAGCTACCTGGACGTGTCGGTGGTCCAAACGCTAGGAGCCGGGGAGCCGCGCCATGACACCCTGCTCCCCATGGACAGCTACCAGCCCTGGGCTCTCACCAACGGCTGGGGGGGACAGATGTACTGCTCCAAGGACCAGGGACAGGCCGGACACCTCTGGAAGTCCGCTCTGGCTGGTAATACACCGTTTTATTCTCCTCTAAACACATATTTGTACAGTCTGTGCATTTAAAGGAGCTTTGTGCAGTTATGTAGAATTATGTAGGCCCACTGCTAGACAACGTTTAGTCGTGTGTGACATATGTTATTAGGAATGAATTATAGACTTTCTTTTGAAAGTAACCAATTTGATGACATGATTAATATGCTCCCATAATTAAAAACAGTCTTCATGCATTTGGAATAAAGCTACAAAGTTAATATGAGCAGTTCTCTCTACAACAGATAAATAATCAGTGTGCTTTATGCAGAGCTGTGGCTGATGTTAATCACAGCTCAAACAGTCTGAGGGCTAATAAAATAAAATAAAATAAAACAAGCTGTTTGGAGCGGACACGGTGTCACAATGTCAGTATCAGGTCAATATTCATATTCGTTATGGCTCTGCCTCATCGTGCTCATCAGGCCATTGATGGATCAAAAGGTCATGTGTTGCCTGGTACAGAGAGACTGATCTGTTAACCGACAATTAGATTGTTATCAGATGACTTATAATGAAGTATAACTGTCAGCACAATGATTGGACTGGGGTTTCATTATGTGATTCTAAAAGAAGGACGGTGATGCATTCAGATCTATCTATCTTTATTTATTTATTTATTTATTCATCATACAGGGAAACAGACATTAGGCAGTAAATTAAAAATCACTATAAACAGCACATTCAACAGAGGTTTCTAGAACAACTGTCCATTTCCACGTGCATGCACAGTCAGCAGTGCATTGGGGACAGAAGGTGCACGCTCGTGCTGCTTGCAGACGGCAGACATCCACCATGTTGTCTGCCTGTGTCGCAGGATGGATGTCCAATCAGCTCCAAGCATAACGTCGCTGTCCTCCTCCTTTAAGCCGCAGCCAGTAAATGCAACACAGCACACTCGCGCCTGTATTGCACCCTGCTAGAAACCCACAAGTGTGTCCCGCTGTGTGCAGCCTCGCCCTCAGACTGCCCTCTTCTCTTTGTCCGCAGATGTGGTGGCCCACCAGCACGACGGCTCGCCTTTCCGCCGGGGAAGGAAGAAGCGGATACCGTACACCAAGGTCCAGCTCAAAGAACTGGAGAAAGAGTACGCGGCCAACAAATTCATCACCAAGGACAAGAGGAGGAAGATCTCCGCCGCCACCAACCTGTCGGAGCGACAGATCACCATCTGGTTCCAGAACCGGAGGGTGAAGGAGAAGAAGTTCGTGGCCAAAGTGAAGACCAGCGCGCCGTAGCACACACGTCCCTTCGCTTTGGACGATTTAGTGGAGGAACTGTGTGTGTGTTTGCGTGTTATACATCAAGAATGAACACAGAGAAATGACAAAAAAAAGAAAGAAAAGAAACTCAACGTGGTACTCCAGGCGGACTGGGACTGTGCGTAACCGTGTGCGTCCACAAATGGAAGAAAAAGACGAATAAAAAAAAGGACATAAAGGACAAAATAAGACGAAAGAAAAGAACCAAAGCCCTCTGATAAACCGTCTCCTCAGAGGCATCCTGTAAATACAGCACCTTCCTGCCTGCTTTGATGTAACTGTCTGTCTACTGTCTGTGTGTTACTGTTTGTCACTGTTGTCCGTGCCCATGATATAGCCGAAAACACACTATTATGCTGTTCATATTGTTTATAACGCCTGTAAACCAGTAATCAAAGTATAGTGCAACACTTAATAAATTCTTTTAATCCTGATGTAGTCTCCTGCAGCTCTTATATCTTTAAATCCATCAATATCTAAACTGGCTACTTTGGATTCGTGCGCGCTATTTGTTTCTGGTCGTCTCTTCCTCCAAACTATGCCCGTAAAATGTGCAAACGTGCCACACATCCGCATTCAGGTCATATCAAAGGCTGCCATTTGATACCCGCAAAGTGGACAAACAGAGCGGGACGATCCAGCCTCCCCGCGCAGATTAAAAGTGTTTATGAGACTGTGAATTCATATTCGGATCAGGCCTCCCTAAGGAACATCACCACAACAATGATATCCATGTCCTGCTATCATTCCACAGGCCTGCACAGAGCCGTGTGAACAAAAGTCTCCCCGCTAATTAAATCTGACCAAGTATTCACAGTCTTTACACAAAATGTTCAGCCGTGAATTCAAAGTAAAAGGCACCATAGCACGAGCAGAAAAATGTTTTTATTTAGGACTTTTTGTTCCTCCAGCTGCTCACCGCAGCTTCCATAATATCTCATATCATGTGTACAGTTCTGCTGCCATGAGGAAACACGGAGCGCAGAAAAGTAGACTTTTAATAGCTAGTTCAAATTGCAGATTGGTGGAGTAAATGTATACAGTTTAATTACAAGAAAATTAATGGAGTTTAACTGAAAGTCACTATTAATTATACAATTTATTTAATGTACTTACTTGCTTTCGGTTTATATAAATTGCAATTTTTGCCAGTCGTTTATGGAGGTTTCATTTTTATTTTATTTTTTTAAGTTGTATTGAATTATTTTTAAGAGTAAGCAAAACTGTCTTTATTTTATTTCATTATCTTCAAAAATGCCACATTGATTTATTGTTATAGGATTTTTTAATAAGAACTCACACAAAAAATACACAAAACACAATCATAGTCAAATTGACTATGTGGAAAATTGAGCACAATACTTTAATATGCGCGAGAAAGTGAGGAAGAGAGCAGAGATGTAGCAAGAAACTATAAATAATTACATTCAGTCTAGTTTTTGTTTAAAATGTCTCTAATACCCAAAGGAGCTGCGCACCTCATTCCAGGAATTAGACATTAAATTGCGCTATTGTTTGTGTGTCCTGTAGCCGACCATTGTGTGTGTGTGTGTGTGTGTGAGAGAGAGAGAAGCCCTTGACCTTGAGAGTCACGTGACCAGCTATAGGCTCTCACTCAAGTCTCCCGCGAAACCATTTACGACAGCAGAGTGTTGTGTCGTCTGCTCTGATAGAGACCCCCTCCCCATCACACACACACACACACACACACACACACACACACACACACACACACACACACACACACACTGCGGCTATGGGCATCAAACCTCCTCGTGCTCTCTCATCAGCAGGTTCCTATTGATCCACTCCTGCGGCGCGTTCACGTTCACGGCGACAAGTGGGTGACGGCGCAATGCGGGTTCACGCTACAGTGCGCCAGCTTTGTAGAGGGTTTGTGTGTCACTATCGACAGCAGCAGCCAGTCTCGTGGATTCTTAACTTTCCACAGACACCATGTTTCTTAAATACATCAAAGAAAGTCCAAACACAAGGTGAACGCCACAAACGGCCGTGCGTAATGTTTGGAGCATCGTGGTTTTTACAGAATCTGAGGTTTTTACAAACACACCGCAGTGTGCTGCTGTCAGCAGAATCTTTGTGTTCAATAACTGTAATACTTTGCATATTATGGATGGTGTCCAATCCTTACTGGTGTTCGTAATGGGCATATAAGATCTGTCTCCGATTGAAGGTCTGGATGAATCCGGGCTGGTGTTCAGTGACTTTGGTGTCACGTGAAACACACCAGAGTAGATAAGCTGCTTGGTTGGGAAATCTAATCTATGTTTGGAATCAGTTGAATTCTGAACACAGCATTGATTGTGCGACCCATTCCCCTGAAAGACAGCCACTCCATTTTGTTGTTTATATATATATACCACAGCCCTTTGCAGCTCCACCGGCAGTCACGCAGTGTTTTGTCCACTGGCGTCATTCAAATTGTAAGAAATCGGAAGCCTCTGTCTGCTCTGACTGAATCTTAAATGCTCAGCACTGCAATCATGAAGTGATTTCTAATGAGAGCACGGTCTATTAAACCTCCCTATTATTTCTACTGCCGAAAGCACATGTTGGAAATGTATTTAACAGTCTGAAATGCTCTCACGGTGCATCGAGAGCTGTTTGGAACACGGCACCGTCCAGTTTGGTTTTGGGCGGTGATGCGGGCCGCTCTTCCTCCAGAAGGGACAGACAGGCTGCACCAGAGCGCTGCGCACACTGACACACATTTTAATGTTCACGATTCACTTTCAATAGTTTGAATTGAAGACATTTTCACTGAAGTACACAAGACTTCATTAGCATTGTTATGGTGATATTTCGCAGGTTTGACCCAAATATTAATTAACAGTCTCAGAAACAGTTTTAGTCTGCACGGAGAGGCAAACTCTCCAGAAAAAAAATAACAAAATGCAAAAACATTTGTCAGTGAACCACTACACCACTGTACAGAAGAATATATATGGTAGCCGTTAACTCAAGTCATGAGAATATTTCTGTTAGAAAACTTTGCTCATCTCTTTGCGCATGCTTATTTACCTTTTCAAATACCAAACAAATACAGCTGTTTTGTTTTACCGACACGGAAAATCTAAACTTTGCAGCTCCAGGCCTTCCGGGGTTTGATGGAAACCACACAACGTCCTTGCGCATGTGCATGGCGAGTTACTACTATGACATATATGTTCATAATGTATGCTCGAGAGAGAGAGAGAGAGAGAGAGAGAGAGAGAGAGAGAGAGAGAGATTTAATTAGCGCTCATTTATGTGTCAGTGAATGTAGAATATTAGGATTTGGTGAAAATATAAATATTGTTTATTGGCGGTGCTCTGGCGGTTAAACGGCGCTAATATAAAGTTTCAGGTTCTTTTAAAAGTGAAATCAAACTTCAGACTGGAGGTTTAAACAGACGCTACATTACAATGAAATGGTCAGCAGTGCCAGTTTCTGCTTAAAGAAGGCCTTGAGGAGCAGCCAGGAAACCTGAGCAAATGACTGCAGAAAAATAGAATAGAATAAAATAGAATAGAATAGAACATAACAGAACACAATAGAAAAGTATAGCTGTATATATATATATATATATATAGTTTATTAGTTTAGTTTCGGGGAAATTTTAATTTCGAACAGATATATAATTAAAAAAGAAGCTGGATTTCGGTCATTGTAAATCCCCAAATTCCATTTCCTGTGTGTGTGTGTGTGTGTGTGTGTGTGTGTGTGTGTGTGTGTGTGTGTGTCTGTGTGTGTGTGTGTCGGACCGTTAAACATTAACATTGAACTTGACAAACGGCGGTGTGCTCTGCTGGCCTGTTGACTCTCTTTACTGCTCCGTCTCTGTCCTCCTTTAAAACCAACAATACTGACGGAAGCCCTGAAGCTCATAAAGCTCTTTCTCCCCTTTAGTCCAAATACCAGAGAGGAGGAGGAGGAGGAGGAGGAGGAGGAGGAGGCCTGCAAGCCGCACCACAGGACGTATGTGGTCTTATTTTATTCTCACACAACACCACAAAATCACACAATATAATATAATATAATATAATATAATATGGTTTGATTTATTATTATATATATATATATATATATATATATATATATATATATATATATATATAAGTTATGATAAATGTAAATAAACTGACATGAAGGTTATTACATGCAACTTTTTCACATGAGAATAATATCTGCTGAAGCCAAAAGTGTCTCAATGCAATGCAAATTCCTAAAAATGTTCAGAGTAAAGAAATAAAGAAAATGTCCTTGTTTACAGCAGATTCTTATAACTTAAAATAATAAAATATAAATTAATTTCCTACACATGGGCAGTGGTGGAAAGAAACTAAGCACATTTACTAAAGTACTGTACCTTTAGTGTTTCCTTGATACTTCTACTCCTGTACAATTCTGAGGGAAATATTGTACTTTTCGTGTGACAGCTAAATGCTAGTTTCCAGATTAAGACCTTACATGAAAAATATATTAAGATCATCTTAAATTTGATATATTGTAAGAGATTAAACTATCCCAAAATATAAATTAGTAATTAGAAATTAGTTAAAATGCTTCTCTGCTTCGACATACACAATGTTGCATTCACATTAAGGCATCAGTAATAATGATGCAATTATAATATTTATAAACATGGCACTTTTACTTTATCAGAGTATTTTTACATTGAGGTATCACAGGTTATGGGTTGTTTAAATATCAGCCTACATTTTATATTTTAGAGAATTTTAAGGTTCGCTGCAAAAACAGTTCTTATAGTTAGTGTAAATACATATAGTAAAATGGAATGAATATAAGAGGTTATTATAATTAGAATCCAGTTTAAGAAAGAAATATTTTTACACGGGTGTAATGAGTCTCCACTGAGGACAGCTGCTGCACAACCAGCTTCCCAATGCAGTCAGGGTACGTGCACCAAAACTACAGCTCCACTAAACAGGACGTCAGAGGTCAGATCCCATTGCTCGCTGATAATCCATGGAACAAATGTTCATATGACACTGAATGTAAAAATCCTTCAATGGTGAGGAGTCGATTTTGAAAAAAAAATTCTGACTTTTTCACAGAAGACCCTTCACAGATTTGTGTTTTATGTCAACAGAATAGAGCTGTTGGTGCGAGTGCTGCATGGTTCGACCTGCTGTGCTAGTAAAAACAACGTGAATAGACTGAGCACTTTACATTCCTGCCTGCAGACAGCTGCACTCTCAGAGAGGAAAGGTGGAGAGTCGGCAGAGCTGGAAGAGTCACATTCGTACGTGTTTTACTCAAATAAAATGATTATTAGTGAAGTCATTCATTGGATCCAACAGGTACATTTGTGGTTTTTGTAGTACAAGTAGCCTGAAACCAGTGGTGGAGGAGTTTTCAGATGCTTTAGTTGAGTAGAAATAGTTAAGTATTGAAAATGTGTATTAACAA